CCTTTTTTTACTTGTCAATCCAGGTGGCTCAAAAGGTGATTGCGAGCTTAATTTTGTATTACTTAAATGATCATGAGCTGATTTGCCCTTAGCAGTAAACTTTTTGTTTATTATCACAGATTCTTCTTCATCTTCCTTTGCTTTTTCACAAAATGATAAAAGATTGAATTTTCTGTAACAAAATTTTTCATTGCAAAGAATAATACTATCAGGGCCAAACTCTGCAAACATATATGATTTTTACTTTACTACTGCTGTTTTAGTTTTTGAATTGTCCTTTACTTTTTCATTTTCCTGTACTATTCTCCTTGGTGGAATACCAGAAAATGGATTGTTCAATATTATAATTTTTATCAATCTCGGAGGATAAACTGGTTTATCATTCTACAAAAAAGAGGAAATATTAATATTAATATTTATATTAATTCTTGATATTTTCTTGTAAACATTAAATTTACCTCATCTACAAGTGCTTCTTCGAGTTTAAGCATGTTGTATATAGTCTCTCTAGTAACTTTACCAAAGATTGTATGTTTATTCTGCAATTCTGATGTAGAACCAAGAGTAAAAAGGAATTGGGAAGTATTGTCATCTTTTCCAGCATTAGTCATAGCAATTACATCTCGTCGACAAAAATGTAAACTTGTATGAAATTCGACCTAAAATACATATATCCAATAATTATATTTTAATAAAAAAGCAATTCATTTTATTTTTAAATATACTCTCACTTTAAATAGTTCTCTATATATTTTACCACCTTCTCCTGTGCCTGTGGGATCACCACTTTGTGTTATGAATCCTTTGATAATTCTATGAAATACAGTGTCATCCTAATAACCTTCCATACATAATTGTATGAAATTTCTACATATCTTCGGAGTTTCTTTTGCCCATAATTCTAACTCAATATCGCCAACAGTTGTTTTCATTATAACCTAGTTATAACAAATATATTAGTTTTATTAATGTAAAATACTTTTAAAATAAAAACAATCCTTCGTCAATAGTATTTCATATTAAATCTTTAGTCATTTACATATCAGTCAGCCAAATGGTTCTTTTCTTGAATAATCATAAGCAGGTAGGACGTACCTTTTATCTCCTTTGAACGTTGACTTTATTGGTCCAATCAATTCCATGTGTCACAGCCCCATTATTCCTGAAATGCTTTTATAGTTTCCATGTTCCTACAGATATATCTACACATTTGAACCTTAATGCAACATTTATACTCTATATTCAATTTATCTTAAACTTCTATAACTATTACCAAGTGATCATTCTCCATCTCTTTAATGATCCTCATATTTGCATGTCCACGGCACACATCCTTCTCTGTTGATACATATGCTGCCCCTTTCCTCTTTCCTGATTTCACATAATATGTATTTCCTATTCTTACTGCTTTTATTTGAACCACTCCCTTTTCTTTATATACCTCAGCTCCAACATTCTGAAATATAACACATTGGCAATGACTTTGAACACTGATATTAATATTTATTTAGATGTGGAATACAACATACCTTTCAATCTCACTTTATTTTCTATGTCTAGTTGTTATACGAGGCCATCACCTAAATTAACTTTATTCCCTTTTGTCTGCCTAAGCCATCTCCATTGTATGAAACTTTATTTGACCATCAAAGATTTATATCTTGTATGTTATATGGTTAGCCGACCTAGAATCCAATAGACATCATAACTTACATATTTGTATTGCTGTTTCAACTTTTTCTCGCTATAAAATATAATTCTTGGCATCTAATGGCTATACGCTGGTGATATTCTATGAATCCAATATTTTTCTACTGTTGCATGTGCCGGTTTATTTCAACAGAATATTGTTTTTTCAAAACCAAGCTCTGCTATCACTAATAAAAGGTGGAAAAACAATGGCTCATAATTTGCACTAGTTAATTACAAAGACTTACATTCTTTTATGTGATGCAGGCACACCTGCGTGGACACAACAATGCTTTCGGCGTTTGTTTGCAATTTTTTCTCATTTCCTATGCACTCTCCTGTTCACTTGGAGAAAAATTAATAAATCATTTAATTTCTGTGATTAATTTATGAACCTTTATAATTGCGTTGTAAAGGCGTACCTTTGTATATTTGTCGTTTGCCAGGTAAAGAAATGAATGCTGATTGTCTAATTAAAACCATTGTTCAGGTTGAATTTATTAAAGAATGTAGAAGATTTTATCGGATTCTAAAGTGAATAAAAGGAGGGAAATAGGATGTGCGTTAGTTATTTATGTTCTTATTTTATTGTTTATTTATTTTGTCTACCACGTCAAGTAGATTTAGGCGTCTACCTAATTCGGGCTTCGAGTCTAAAATCATAGATGGCTCTGATGTTAATTTACTAACTCTGGTTATGTGCTCCGAATATATTTTAATAAATCAAATCGGCAGTGGAAAATTCGCTAATTACTTAAAATCTGTGATTAATTTATGAACTTTTATAACTGCATCGCGAAGGCAAATCCTTCAAGAACTTTCCAATATATTTTTCGATATAAATTTGTCCCTAATTAATTAATCATTAATTATTATTCCACGGAGTGTTTGAATTGTTGTCGAAGACGCCATTGGTTTTTCATTAATTACTATTCTCTACGCAATTAATTTATGGAACTTTATGCACTCGTTAGAAAGACAATGCTCTTGCGAATCTTCTCATATAACTTTTGATCACATTTTGCTTCTACTTTTGTTTAGTATTAAATGTTTTCGCGGCAGATTGTGATGGTCGTCGTTACGAAATCATGGACGCCATAAAACGATAATTTATAACTAATAAATTAGCGTTAAATTCTTTACAAAAATTATATAGGAATGTTGCCTAAAGTCCCAGCTTTGCAATGAAATTATAAAAGTTCATGAATTAATTACAGAAATTGAGTAATTTATTAACTTTTCACCGCCGGAGCCCTTCTATCCTTTTCTATCCCCTCACTGTCCTCGTCTGTCACGTGACAAGCTCTTCGACGACCTCCTTGTAATCCTATTACTTTTGGAGCATTTGGTCCAAAATCATAGATGGCGCTGATCGCGGGCGGCAAAATTTGTATTTATTCGACAGTAGAAAATTAATAAATTTCCAATTTTTTGTAATTAATTCATGAACATTTACAGCTGCACAGCAAAGGTGTAATTATAGACAACATTCTTATACGATGTTTAATTTAATAATTAATACATGTGCGATAGGTTTTGTATTTCCTGTATCTAATAATTATTTATATTTTTGTTTTCTTTCTGTAGTAAATAAGATTGCTATAGAAAACTGTTTTCCTTAGATAATTTTTTATTATTTTGTAATAAATATATACTAGCGTAAGAAAGCGTAAAAAATAAATTTTTTTAAGAAATTTTATTTACAATTTTTTATTTACAATGTTTTCATAGGTGAAAAATGAATACAAAATAAAAAATAGATTGAAAAAAGACTACCAACTATGATGGACAGCAATCGACCCCGGACCTCCAGCATAAGAATTTTCGTATGTCACCTTTAGGCCACAACTCCACTTGAAAACTATTGGAAATAAATCTATAGTTAAAAATGTAATAAAACTTTAATCATAAATGTCTCAAAAACTACTGAGTAGCTGTGGCTATAATGATATATATATATATATATATGTATATATATATTCTTGAACTGCATGACGAAATCTACAAACCTGCAAAGTTTCAACTAAATCGGTGACCTGAAGGACTTGCACTCTCCTTGTAAGTAATTTTTAGATTATATATAAACTCTTGTTTTACAATACTTATTCTACTTAAATTTGTATAATATATAATTACTGTATTTGTATCTATTTTTTCTAGGTTTTATTTTCAAGTCTACTTAAAATGTTTTGCTCAAATAATTCTAGAAAAAATTATATTTGTATTGCTTATAAAATTTATCATCATTAAATTACCAAGACTAATTTCCAAAATATATAAATATATATTTACATGTACAATATGAATAACTTACTTAAGCTACCTATAATTAAAATAAATCTTATACAATCGTTTATTACAATTAATTATTTCAATTATGCTGTTATATTTCGTACATTATTCAGTAAAAATGGGCAGAAGCCATGATAACATAGGTATGTTTTTAGTAGTAACAAAAATGTATTTTTGTCTGTACTTTAGAAAGATATATTGAAATTAAGATATGAGATGAATAATGTAATAGATTTCTGAATATTTTTTGTCTCATAACATTGGATCATAACTGCAATTGCAAGCAGTATATAAAGTTTAAAACATGAACAATTTATAAATAAATATTTTACAAATTTTGTATGACAATGTATCACGCGTTATAAAAATATAAATAACGAAAACTTTGTTCTTAGTATACAACGGATAACGTTTTTATGCCGAATTTACTTAAACAATGAATATTTTGTATATTTTACTAGTATTTCTTAAATATGTATTATCAATATTAATATTTTCTCTCACAGTTAAAAATGAAAGTGAGATACGCAGATATAAAAAATTTATAGTATGATTATGTTTTTTGTAAAAAGAAATATTATTTAATTATTATAATTTAAAACAGCACATTTGTCAAAATGTACCAAACACATATAGTACTTGTAGAGTTCATATACTATAATATTTAAAAATTGATGTACTAATTGTATTTAAATTTAATATGTTTATTTAAAAGTATTTTTTTTATGTAACTTACAAAACCAAACACTGTATATTTACTCTTTATGTGTTCATTTTAGTATACATTGTATACTTACACATTTAAAAAAACAATTACACACAATTGCCTTTGCACACCAAATTATAACAGTTCATACATATACTATACTTCAACTGTATAACATTAAATGCTACATTATATATGACTTTTATGATTAAATTCAGATAATATCTTCGCGATGTAAGTATAAAAGCAATGAAAGTAAAATTACACTAAATTATAACATTTTATTAAGAGCATCATCCTTCTTATAAATTTGCTAAGAATTATTGGAATGCAAAGGAATGACAAATTTCGATCCAAAAGGAGATCTATATGTTATACCAACATCTGCATATACTTCGTTTGGCAGTGCAAGATTACATAAATATAATTTTCCATTGTCCATACTATGAGACAATGGTAATCCACCAAGCAAACTATATTTGCTAAGAATACCAGGTGTTCCTGTAGCTGGTGGATCAATAGCTAAAATAGGTGCTCTATTGCTATTTGCCCACTTTGCTATAGGTGTAATCATTCTTGGCGAATTTTCATCACAAAGCGCTACAAGTATCAAATCCACCACTGATGGCAAATTTTTAAGTTTAGTTTCTACCTTGTTTCCTGTTAACTTGTACAAAGATAATTCTTGTAGAAGAAAAACATCTTCAGAATTTTCTACAAACACTATTGTCTTAATACCATAACTAGACAATTGTCTAGCACAATTAACACCTGCAGCACCAGAACGATGAGGTCCGCAAAGTGCAATAACTGTTGGCCACTGGTGTGCATTATTTGGATTAAGTCGATGACTTCCTCCCAATAATTGTAATATAATTTCTGTACCAGCTCGACCAAGAAGTTCCACCTGATTATTAAAAATAAATTTATTTACCAGACATGTATGAATCTACTTTCTTAATTTCCAATTTTACATACCCTACGCTCCCAACTAATACCCAATCGATCTGCTGCTCCTATTAATTGACGATGAAGGTTGAGAGTTATACTAGGAATTATTAAACCATTATCTGTTACATATTCTATTCCACCAGCACAGGGTACCATAATTTGTCTAAAAACTGTTGGTTCAGAAACAATGATATTTTCGTCAGGTCTATAGCTTTTATTTAGTCCTTGCTTTTGTTTCTTAGATTTCACAGAATCTATCTTTTGCCATACAGCCTATAAAAAATGTAAATAACTTTTAATATTATTTTAATGAAACTATTGAAAAAAGAAAACAAACCTCTTTATCAAATAAGGCTAAATTCTTTTCAAAATCAAAGTCTTGATTCAAGGATTGCTCAATTGAAGTACCAAATGTGTCCTCATTACGTCCTAAGTTCCTCTGTTTACTACCTAATTTCTTTTGTATAGGTTTATCAATAGATTCAGCTACAAGAAATATGGTCAGATTATTATTAATGAAGCTTAATATTTACATAATATAAGAAAAATCAACTATGTTGTTATACGTAATGAAATTTTCCCATTGGTTGATTGCTCAATATTGGACTGAGAAATGTTGTTTAGCTTTCTAGAATTAATTGGTGTTTGTGACGATGTGGACTGAACAGGAGAAGAAATACTTTCTGAAATGGACCTGCCAACTCTCTTGGCAATAGGTCTCTTTACAGTTATGTTATTGTATGAAAGAATGGCATCATATATATCAGATTCTCTATCATTAATTGATATAAATTCTACATCCAATATATCCTTTACCCTAAATGTTTAAGAACAATTATATTAAAAACAATTTAACTATATATACTTTATTTAATATTTTTATTTATAATGAAATTTACTAAATTATTATTGTCAAATAATACCCCAATGTAACTATAGGTGATGCATGAGGTATCCCATTACAAAAAGCTGTTGCAAGTATAAGACAATCTTTATTTAAATCCACTATTTCTCCTTGGTAAGTTCCAACTTCTTCAATACACTTTACAGAAACTATACAACCCACAAATTTTTCTGACATCCTGATTATCTAGCTGTACATAACAAATTTATTATAAAAATAATACATTCTTCATGAACTTTTATTTTAATAAAATTAATTGCTTTCTATGAATAACAATTTTAGAAACATGTTAATATAATGGCGATGATAAATATTTTATAAATTGTTCAATTAAAATTAATGAAAATCAGTATTTATTGAAAAAATAAAGATAATACAAACCTAATATAGACGATTAAATGAATATATTTTTAATATCGGTCACTTAGCAATATTACGTGTAATTTAATATTCTATAATTGTTTTGATGTTTAATAGTATCAAGTATATAACAATACATTCATTAGCATCAAATACCGGACACAATTTCTGTATATTTTCATCCCTACTCTAACCCCATATCGTTTGTAAGGGACTATTTCAACACGCTACACGAAAAGCAGGCGTACTTCGATACCATTGGTTCATCTTTAACAAGATCGATTTTTCACTAAAAAAAAATACTAGAGATTTTCAAATATTCAAAATATTTTTCAGGTTATTATATCACGAAAACAGTGTGCAAAAAGAAGAATAAAAATAAGTTTTATTCAAATATAAAAAAAAAAGTTCAGAAGATAGGGTATGAAATTAAATATGAAGTTATTACTGAAAAATTTGAAGCGATTCTTCAAAGCTATTGGTTATTACACTTTGAGTTTAATGTCTTTAATATCTGACAAAACTAGTTATTAGATATATGTTATATACAATATTCATCATTCATTGCGCATATTACTATATATGAATATTATATTGTTACGTTTGACATAATATCATAATTGTTATATGTCATATTTCTATTCAAACTCTAGTACGCATTCCGTACGTAAAATTTAAATTTATTTATTTTTTCAGTTCACAGTATTTACCAAAAACATTTTTCGTTTCAATAGAAATATTAAATAACGTTATTCCTAATCCTTTTCTTTCTTTAACGAATTAATAAGAATAATTAGTTAAAGAAATGGAAGCTTATAATAATATAATTCACTTCTTTTTATCATAGTGGAACGTGTCGAAATATTTGCAAACCTTTGTTAAGCGCCGAAGCGAACATCCCCACCATAAAACACCCCACTATCAGAATATTTTAGGTGGAAGCGCTACGCTTTAGTGTACTCTAAGGTCTTTTCTACACAAATGCATGGCTGTCAAGGCAAGCAGAAAGGAAGAAGCTACGTTGAAACCGGGAATGCCAGTTTATACACGAGCACGTAAGAACCTCCAGTAAACACAAAAAAAGATTCCTGTTTGCCGTGTGTGCATAAGCTCTCATTGCTTATGTGAAAGAGACCTAACTGTGGATTGCCGATCGGTGTAGCATATCCCCTCCTCGTACACTTAAGAAGGGAGCCGTGTAAGTGACCTTATGCTGGAAGTAAAACGAGTCAACAGCAGATTAACCGTCTATCTATAATTATTAATTTTTGTTAATTTCTGATAATTTTATATATTATTGTTGATTAAAATTTTAATGGCTTTATAGAGAATATCATTCAAAAAATTGTGAACAATTTCTTTATATTGCGATCCGCAAATTTTTATGTTATGTTTTGTTAATTTACAATAAAGTTTTTTTGTTTTATTTAATTGCATTAATTTATGTTTTAGTTCTTATTTTTTTTGACTGTTATTAGGTATTTGGAAATTTGTATTTTATGTTAAGCATAATAAATCTATAAGATGAAAATGTTTAAAATGTAAATATTTTGTTTCAGTCTAAAAGTAACATACGGATCATTTGGTAGGTGTTTGTTCAAGTGCTGTGAATTCTTAATTTTATAAGAGGAGTAATTTTAAAATTTTTTCTTATACATATACACATTTTTATGCAGTAAAGCCTGGTATTAGTTATAAAATTAATTTAAACCAATTTAAGTCAGTATATTTGTAAAAAAACTGTTTAAAAAGGTATAAAATATACAAATAATGTTGCACATTCACAGAATGTCAATATACATATTTACACAATGTTCAAAGCAATATTTTGAACAAACAGAATTATATCTTTTTAATTTGTAAGACAATCCTTTTTTCTTTTTTTGTTCTATAAACTATTTAAATCAATCTCTTTGCATTTAAGATTATCTACTGGATTATACTTCATCTTTGTTGTAATCGTATCAAACAGACTAGTAGACAAATTTTTATAATCTTCTACTAAGTGATACATTTTTTCATTTACATTAGGGCATTTTACGTTATTTTCTATTATATTACACATTTTATTTACATTTTCTTCAGTAATTGGAAATTCTTCTAAAACTCGCAATTCTTCCTTCAATACTGTGTTCAACACAGTGGCCTATAATGTTCAAATAACGTTAGATTTTATTTATTATTTAGTAGCTTAAGAATTGCATAATTTATATTATACTTAGAAAATACTTGGATACATACTCTTTTTGCTCTTTGTTGTAGTACTTCTAATGTCCGATTTATATTTTCAAATTCTGTATCACTATATTGTGTCCTCTGATACTTGTCCTCTTCCAATAAGACATTACTTGGAATAGCAATGTATTTATTTACAATATTCTAAACAATCATATAAAATAATCATTGAATTATATTTTCTCATATGTGATAGAAAAAAAGAAATGTTTATATTTTGGTTTACATTAATGATCAATCTAATTACCTTAATATTTTCTAAATGTGGCATTGTTCCTTTATAGTATGCCCTTTCTAAATTTTTTTGATTTGTTTCAAGTATTGCTACATTTTCGGAATTTAATTTGTATGTTTTTTCAATTGTTTCACACATCTTTTGAATTGTGTAATGTATCCTTTCACTTACAATATTTTTTACTACGGAAAAAAAAGAATATTTGAATATACTCATGCAATTAAATATTAGCCATACAGTTATATTTTATTTTTACTTCATTAACAAATTGTGATACTAGAAATATAAAAAGTTCATAAAAAAACGTTGAAATCTCAAAATTGAATTAGAATATTTATTGGTTATACTACTGTCCAATTCTGTTATATTTATTCATATATATATTTTTTAGTTTCTTCAAGCCTTCAAATAAAACAAATAGACGAAAAACAAAAAAAAGAATGCAATTGGAATTTGATAAATATATTGGTTCAAGGTCAATTTTTATTTGTTTGTTCTTTGAATTTAAAATGTGTGAGAAAAGAGAAGAAAAAAGAAAAGAAAAGAAGAAAAAAAGAAGGAAAAAGTGGAGCGTTAGTCGCCTTTGTGATTAACTTCGTTTGTCGGGGCCGGTGAAAGTATTCCAAGCAATGGACGAGTGTAACTCTAGTCATGATCAAATCCACATGAAACCAGAGTGCACCCGTCCAACGATTAGGATATGCTGTTGTACATAACGAGAATGCCGTAAAATCTGAAAAGCATTCAAGTGAAACTCAAAACGGCGGCGCCTTACAAGTAGCGTACACGGCTCTTGAATGAAAGTTAAACAGCTGCATTTCGTATTCTTCTTGCTTCCGTTTTTGTAATTCCGAGGACGCCATTTCGTTCTAAATACACGTTAACTTATAGGATTATTTAATGAAAGCACTTAATATCTTTATACTTCTTTGAAGCAATCTTGCTACTTCCGATGATCACACCTTGACGTCCGTTGACAAATGAACATGGCGTCTATCTGCTTGCGTACGACAGCGTCCTTTGTCCCTTTGCGTTCACTAAGGCATCCGGATTTCTTAGCGGGATTTCAGACTGTTTCAAAAGCAACCAATCAAATGCCATCCTTTGCCAATGAGAACTTACTGTTTCGATTACACCGGAAAATGCGTAGAATTCTTTTTATTCGCATTTTTCTATTTACATTAACATGTTGATAATCATGACAGAAATATTTCCTTATTATGAGATACTAAGCCTCTTTTTTTTATACACTTGGTAACCCGTATCGTCAACAATTATATAAATTTCCTATGTTTCAGCTTCACAATATCATCACGAGATGGCTACACAAGGGATTTGAGAAAAATAATGTTATAGTAGGTTACCTTATAGTTCATATGTAATAAACCAATAACTTTGACATAAATTATGTGATTATAAAAATTAAAAAATAAAAACTTTGTATAAATAATGTGTGTGTAAATATAAAAGTTATAGCATAATTTTGTAGTTGCATTTTCACGAGATATCCAAAAAGAAGATAATAGTACACGTGAAATAAAATAAGGGCTTTGTTTATTATCACGGGAAAGGGAAATGTAACGTGTCAAGCGTTTGCTTAATCAGTAGATATAAAATTCAAATATTTTTTTTATCCGCGTTATCAACAATTTAAAATTCAAATGCTTTTTATCGCTGAATTTTTTTCAAGACTCATACGTGAAGTATAAATATGAATATAGTTCCTGTCATTTCCAAAATTTATTAAAAAATTTCCAACTGCTTTCTACACTTTCTTAGAAATATTATCAAACAGTTAGTTATTTCATAAAATAAAAAAATTATTAATTTTAAGTCGTTTAAGTAATTAATACATAATGGACTCAAAAAAAAACAATTTTTAAAATAAAAATATATTCATTAATTATTCTTAAAATATCTATGTATGTAATATGCTTTTGAAGTGACATCATCGCAATTTTTTTGTGCACATATGAGTCATTTGGTTGGTAAGCCATGCAATGTTATTACAAATTATTTTTAAGTTTCATTGTCATAACCACAAAAACACGTGTTTTCTATGAATTCATATGAAGATTCATTCCATTTCCGTATATAAAATGTTAAATTTTAGCGTCAATTTTTCTCAGAAGAGATGAATAAATATTTAAACGTACGTTGATACTACTTAATAAAAAATATCGATACAAAGAGTTCCGTGCAATTTTTAATTTGCATAGAGAAAAAAGGTATGCGGAGAAGTGAATGCTCTTTGCCTTTCGTCTTGTGCACAATGACAAAGTGAATGGATGAATCGAAAGAGGTAAGTGCACGACGAAAGTAATGTGCAAATACATGCTTCTCACGCGCGCACATACGTGCGTGTGAGACTATGCTTTATGCGTTCAAAACTCTATACACACATAAATTTGATATTCGATACGTATTCCTCCTTTTATCCGTTTGTGCACGTTGATTTATACTCAATCGCGATTTCCTATAACATATCTGTTCGTTTCCTGTTCTCATCCCACATAATATACAGCATCTAAACCATCCATTATAAAATCACATTTCTACGATTATAGTAAGTTAATATTATCTGTACAATTATTACATTTTTAATTGCAGTTAAAATATAAATTTTTTATTTTATATCGAAATATATGTCGAGATGTCTTTATTTATCGATTGCTATAAAATTATGTATATCATGTAGGTAAAAAGTATTTAAAAATTCACGTAGTAACAAAAGAAGGTAAAGAACACGATTTTGTTAAGAATGGTAATACCAAATTTGTGTGGCGCTTATACAACATTGCGCCATTGAATACACACTCACTTTCGTATAGGCGCGCGCTTCCACAAAGCCGTCGGTGTCCGTATACACAGGTAGACATCGTAGGCGTGTAAGTATATACGTATAGAAGTTCAGGCGCGTGTCGAGTTTGTTCGGTGTTTAATGCGCAACCGGTCGGCGCAGGCCTCGTAAAAAGCCGGGGGCCCGGTTCCGTCGCCGCTCTTCGGATACCACGCGCGCTCGTTCTCTCAGTTTGTATTCGGTATCCACCTCGTATCGGTGGATACGTTCGGTTCTTAATTCAGTTGAACGATCATCCCGAAATCGCGAAATACCGTCCAGTCGTACAAGCACGTTTTTTAAGCCGAAATAAAGTTTCAAACCGAACAACGACTGTAGTGCCAATTGTGTCGTTTGTTGACAGTGCTTCTGAAACAAAGACGGGACAACATGCTGCCGCCGCTGCGATTTGTTGGTCTATTGGTGATACTTCTTGCGATACAGGGTGAGTTTCCTGTTTTCTCTTTCTTTTTATTAGAATTTGGAATGAACTGTGACAAAAAATGTGACGAATACGAAACTTTTTGCCGCGATTAATAGATCGATCGTGTGAATCACGAACAGTCGAATTCGATCGATGTGATAGCTATATTTTTTTCCTTTTTTGGACTCGGCTAAAGTTGTTGGTCACGTGTCTTCGTTATTCCATGCGGTGAACGCGTATGTAGCGGCTATTCGACGATCAAATCAAGTTAATTAAATTTAGATTTAACGCTTGTGATTGGAGTGTGCGCGTTAGCGTGGGTGATGAGCAGTGCATGCTAGGAGACCTTAAAGTCGCAGGATCGAATCTACTCGCATGATAATTTCGCATGCATCACGGCTAACTAACAGTTACCTCACCGTCCGCTCCGTATAAGCAATTGCAACAATAGTTACCATTGCGGGCAGCATCGACGAGTAGCAAGTCGAGTAATCGTTCGTTGCGGAAGGAACAATTACTGTCTTAAAAAAGCTTAATTACTCTTCCTCGTGCGGCAGTTTAGCGAGTAGCATACCCGTTGCTCGATAATCTGTAATTGCTCGCGCTTTCAATTACAATGTTGAGGACATCGAAGTATCTCGATATTTCGTTCCTCAATCATCGCGGCATTATAACCTTTTTAATTCAGCGATCGAACGTATCGTTCAATCGAACGGAACACGCGGCGACAGAACCTTCGTTGTCTAATTTCGTACATACGTTACCACGCGGTTCAATTTAATTGACAACCTACACAGCTGTGCGTAGTATCGAAACAAATTAGAAAACGGAAATAAATATCAATTGATAACATTCTGAATCGATTTGCACGTAGCTTAAATTTTTTACGGCAGGATCGCGATTCCCACGATCCCGCGCGTTTATAGGTTACGAAATTTAAAGAAACCGTTTGCAATGGTAAACAGCTTATTATAGATTATGCGGTAGGATAACTATTAGGTACGAATCTTTCGATCGAGATTCGATTTCTTACGTATCAAAAACTCACGATACGACGTGACGTTTCCGATACTATAGCGTTGTCTAGATGCGCGACTCTAGATAATAAACATTTCCCAAATATTAACGACGCCACGCGTTCTCTCCTTCACGCTAGAGCGCAGCACCTCCGGCACAAACTTTCTCAGCCGATGGAACGTCTGACGAGCTCGTGTGTTTTCACTTAACGAACGCACCGCGTACCGATGTTTACGGAAATATTGGTACTTCGGCTCGTCTAACGAACCAACATTCAGGAGCGTTTTCAAGCGATACACGAGTTCGTTGGAGCGCTATACTATATTTCCTCGGGCGATAAATAGCCGCGACGTGTTTCACCGTTTCAAGCATCTGGGATTCGTAGCGTTGAATTATCCCTCGATTCCAGGGCCACGCTTGCCAGCTACGTTAGTTAATTGTTTCATTAACATTCCGCGTAAACTACATTCCTGAGCATATTCGAGCGTGTGCATTTAACGCTCGATCGGCATGCATTTATTTATGCGGCGAACGCGCGAGAAATGGAGTTTACCGTAGGAACAGCATAGTTCGCTTCACGATGCCATTGCAACGGGCAATGAAGTTGTTCGAACGTGAACGATCGATTAATCGAACGAATAAGAAGAAAATGATAATATCGAGAAAGTCTTTAAATTTTAGAAAAATTTGCTCGAAGTTCGAACAGATAAATTTGTTTGATAGGAAAATTGTGTTTCGAACATTAAAGTTTATTGCTATATTTTCATGATTATAGGAGAAAAGTATTCGTATACAATTTTTGGGCAAGTTAGTATACTTTTCTATTCGATTTTTGTAAATATTTTGAACAAAACGTATTTATCGTATGTATGCAGCATTCTCTGAGGTAGAATTATAGAAATCATTCAAAATAGGAGCACCCTGTATATTTGTTTCTTGTCCCTCGTAATTTTCCCATTAAAAAAAAAGAAAATAATACTTTTCCATTAAACTTCTTGATTTTTCCATAACCACGAAAACACTATAATTACTCTCGGTATTGATTAGACTTCATTTTATATAAGTCCACGTGATCCTATATACTGTATATTCCTATTTTTTGATTTCTCATTCTTCTCTTATTGGAAAAAAAATTTTTTTCCCACTTAACTCTCAAATTTTTTCGACCATCAGTCGTTTCTCCGAAAGCGGCCGTAAAAGTCGCCCATAACGAGACTATCATAACCCTAACCGGTAATTAAACACCACTTTGCATAAGCCTACGTAACCCACATAATACACCTGTTTCCTATCCCACATATTCATTCTCGTTTCTGAAAAAAGAAAAGGAAAGCTTCGCTTTTTCGTCGAATACCTCGATTATCCTCGGCAACACGCGTTCAACATCCACCCTAACACACGCCCGAACCACGGGAATCATTCGCGACAAGGCTTATCGATACCCTAACAGCTAATTAGGCGTCGCTTTGCATAAGTCCGCGAGATCCACGGAGAGAGACGAAGAAGGTGGTCCGTTCCTCGCGTGGAATGGTCCAGCTGTTGGCAAATTCCATTGAGAAAAGTATGCGAGAGGTATCTCGCGAGGACAGCCCTGCT